GGGCTCGCTTTCCCTTGACTATTTTCTACATTTGAAAGTAAGCCAATGGAAGCTGTTCGGGTCCCCAAAGAGCTGCCTCACACCATGTAAAATTATTATTTATTCTTCTGTTTTGCTGCGGATTGCAGAAGGGAAACACATGTAAGTGTTTTAAAAAATAGCCATGGCAATGAATTCAGACTCTCACTAACACAACTGACAGGCTCACATTTACGGACATCGTGAAGCCACTGGAAGCTTTTCAGAGGTGTGATAATCTGCCAGCTATTCCTCACTTTAGCAAACAAACTTGGCCATAAATCTACTCTGCATCCCATAACGCCCATGTCAAACAGCCAAAAGAAAATTACTCCTGAAAATGTATGTTTATTAAAAAAACATTCTGATCAGTATGTTTTGATCATTCCTGTAAGTGAATCTATGCCATCCGTTGCATTACAGCCTGGTGAAATAAGCGAACTTGTTATCTTTGATTTATTCTGCTCATAAATGCCCACTGTATGATGAGATGCAGAAAGTCAGTGCAGTCTGCCTGCCAACATCAGGCTACAGATTTAGCCAAGGCTGAGCAGTGTCTGTTATTTTACAACTCTGGAAAATTCTTGGCTGCCAGAGCGCACACACACACATACACACACACACACACACGTACAGATTAGCCATCTTCATTTGGACACACTACACCATACACCTTGACATTATGACATTTTACCTTTCTAATAGCACAGTGGTCTCCGCACATACATATTGTTCTTCCTCAGTCCACCTTTTCAAACTGGTCTGGATTATTGAAATGGAAGGAATATAAGCAGGCGTTAAAATTGAGGTCTGTCTTGCAATTGGCTCTGAAACGCCACACGCCGCAGAGGAGAGAAAGCGGCTCTTACATCATTTTCTTTCTGTCTGAGCTGGATGTCAGTGCGCTGCTCTCAGTAGTGCACGCAGATATCCAGCCCTATCGCTGCTACAAGTGATATTACAGACAGCTGAACACGCCAGTGTAGTCTAAATATAAGGTGGTATTAATTGTAGGAAGAAAGTTCTTAATAAGTAAAGAGTTTTCAGCAGTTTCAGTGAGCTGACGCAGGCTGCTGTGGGGGATGTGATGAAGATTATTAGTGCCATCTACTGCTCAGAAAGATGCTCTGAACATAATCAGAGTCCTGTATGATCAATCAATGATTTGGTACAGCATGTGGAGAATTTTGCACAGCTTGACTTTCTCACTTGATAAAAACAAATAAATACTCATAATGTTCATAGTTTTTATGAATTAGTTGAATAAAAGTTGAGAATTCTTTAGCATTTTGATATTTAATATGTTTCTCTCACTGCATTAATCTGGCATTTTGTTGAAACAGCAGGAACTGGGTATTAACTGGTTGGTAAGAGTCGCATAATCCTAACAAGCGTCTGCTCCACTTTTGTGCCACTAAGACTGACAGAAAATCCCTCCAGGTGTTAACTTACTTTTACATTTCTGCTGGCAATAATGATTTAGTGTGGAAGTGCGCTGCAACGGACAAGTCTGAAAGGCAATTGGAGTTCATGGGGGGTCCAAGCGGACGTGAGAATTTTGAAATGGCATGGGGGTAATACACGTCTTCATCTCAACACACTCTATAGGCGCAGGCACGCTTATCCATAAACTATAACTTTTGCTCAAATGAAAAAGCGGTGCTTTCTTATCATGTTATGATGAGTTAGCACTACTCTAAGTCATTATTACCACCAATACATTGTTATATTATTGCACCGGCGCTAATTCTTCTATGCGTAAATATGGATCTGGTATATCCATTTAAATCCTATGTCAATTAAATAATAAAAATTACCTGCGCAAGGATGTTATATTTCTTAGTGGAGCCGCTGTGGGCGGTGGCAGACCGATTTGTGGTGGGTGTAGGTGTCTCCTCCAACAGAGCTGGCTTGATGAAATTCGCCTTTGGGCGCGCTTCTGATACTTGGGATGTGCCCGTACCCAGTGTAGCGACGAGAAACATCACAACACAGCATCTACTCCATGTAGGAACGAGCATCCTTGAAAAACTACTGAAATGCCAAAATGTATAGAATCACTTGAAAAACCTGAACGTCGTGCAGCAAAACAAAGTTTTTCAGGGAGAAGTGTGCGCCCTGGTCGTGTCCATGCGCCACGCTTGCCCGACTGCAGTACAGAGAAGGGTGGTGCTGAGGTCAAGATTTTGTTCCTATAAATCAGATGTTCAGAAAAAACACTGCCATGACACAGTTAGTCTGAAAACACACAGAACCCGGTGTCAGAGGTAAACAATGGACAAGAGAATCAGTTCTAACGCTGATGGTCTGAGGGTGAGAAAGAAACTTGACAAGAGGTTTCCACTCTGTCTTCTGTGGCTGTGACTGAGCACTTACTCGTCCTGCCGGGTGTTTTATGAACTCGGATTCTTTCTTTTTTTTTTTTTTTGTTTTTAGGATTCTAATGAGTTCGCTTTCTCCGCCCCTATTCACAACTGACAAAGATTGAAACTGATCTGTGTCCACATCGGCACCAGGAGCCCCGTTGGGGAAAAGCTATAAAATTAAAAACTGTGTACTTTTACTGGGCTCTTGACCCTTTTTACTGTGAGGCGGTCGGGCGCAAAAAAAAAAATGGGGGTCGGGGCGGGGGGGGAGTCTGAATTAGACCGCTCTAAAAAGTGGAAGATATTCCTAAATCATAAGAATAATGCTGTGTTTGTAGGAAAACGTTACCTGTAGCCTGTGCGTAAAAATGCAAAGTCTTAACTTCAACCTAACTGAAAGCAAACGTGATTCATTATTTAAATTTGTAACTGGGGTTATGTTTATTATTGAGATTGCCTTCTGACCAAGACGAAATGAAAACAAGCAGGAGAGGGTTCAGGGTCTATTTAGTCAGCATTCCGTAATAACTTAGAATAAAAGACTTATCTGATAAGCACTGATTTCCCTCATGATCCACGAAATGTAAATGGAACTAAAGTTAGTGAAGTAAGTATAGATGCTCCTTTGTATGACTTGTATCAGGATCAGTCACATTCAGGTTGGTTAGATGAAAATATGTGTTGAAGTACAATGACGTCTTTCAGTTTCAGACAGAAGAATGATGTGCATAGAACAATCACACATCCTTTTTGTGAATGGTTTCGTTTTGTTGATGCTATTAGTTTTGCTACTGAATTTATTTTAATGTATGTCTTTTATCTTATGATATTTTGCAACAATTATGAAATAAACATATCAATCCTAATCAGCTTTTGAGTACAGTAACCACGACTCCTTTGCTTGCTGAAAATGGAAAACATGATGCACAAATAGAAACCACCATGCATGTAACTGAAGCCCCAAAGTCATCCTATCAATGTAAAAATGAATTAGCCAGTCATCAAACCATCTTCCCCACGCTGGCTTTATGACTCGGCACCTAAAAATTCTTTAGTCTTCACACAAGTATGAACCATCTATTGAAAGCTGGGAGCTTGGCTGGGCTGGGATGAAACCACTATCCTGGTAAAGGCTTCTGACCTCAAAAGCGATCCATCAGAGGCTCCAGTTCAACGTGTCAAGTTCTTTTGTTGGAGACAATGGGCAACCAACTGAACTGGGGAGTGGGAGGAAGTATTGGACTTGTTTTATGTAACAGTAGATGCTTAGAGGTGGTTTGATTTTAGCCACCTTTGTCACATGAGTGCACATTGAGTTACCTTGAAAGACTGCTAGCAGATAGTTGCTTTTCACAGAAATACTTTTCTAAAGAAATCATCCATTTGCATAAATTACCTGCTAGACATAAGGTTTAAATATTACTTTAATAAAAGCATGAAAATAAACTTCGACTGAATAAGTAATTGTGAAGATGTCATAAATGTGTTCCGTGAGATGAAATACAAGCAGAGTTAGAAATTCGGGCAGTTTATCTGCTTCCCAGATGCACGGGGAAGAGAAACAAAAGGTTAAAGCCTCAGGCACCACTTGTAGTAGAATAACAAATCAATAAAGACAATACAGTTGTTCTTTAAGTGATGCTGGAGGTTTTACATCTTCTGGGGAATAAATGAAAGATGATATTTAAATTACCAAGCAAAACCAATAAATGCTGGTTGATGCCCAACTGGATTTTATGTACTTTCAATGCTGCTGATTAAACTGTCTCTGAAGAGAGAGTGAATGTGGCTCCCAGTGAGGTAGGGGCTCACTTTGGAGGGTCTATGGCATTTGAACACCCTCATCATGAGATAGTTGAAATGACATACTGTTGAAACTTTAAGGTGCAAAAACCAGCACGTTGTTGCTCTGGTTCTAATAAGTGTAGAGATGTCGAGAGGAAGCACAGCAGATCGGACATGACGGGCCTGAGTAACAGCTGAGAAAAGTGGGAATGTTTTGGACAGTGAAGCATCTGGTGTCATAGATAAAGGTTGTGGTAACTCTATGCAGAAGCTTTTAGGGATGTCAGTGTGGGTACGCCCCTGGTGCTTTGTTACTTTTTTCAAAACAGCGAATTAACAAAGAGCTTTGAGGTTGCCACCAATTAGTGTCAAAACTGTGATCTTTGAAAAAAGAGAAGAAAGGCTCAGTTTCTTCACAGCTTGGCTTCACAGAAATACAGAAAAGAGCACCTGGGCCAAGATCTGTGGTTGTTTTCTTGGCTCACTCAGTTGGAAGGAGTTTACTGTGGGACTGTCTTGTGTTCTGACATGTCATCACCACCCCAGCCTTCGCACAGTAATCACACTTTGACCACTATTTTGCAACAATAATACTCTGATGAGACAACTGTTGCTGAATCTCAGATGTTGAAAAATCCAAACCCTTTGTAACATAATACCTGAGAACGTATCAATATCAGTTCACCTGACAACAGCATTGCTGATTTGCAGTCTGTTTTGAGGGAAGAGTACAGGCGTATCTTGGCAGATAGACTGCCTTGATGCCATGCTAGATAACTCTGGCATCACTTGCAGGTGAAGCTTAACAGCAAAAGGTCTCCAGTGAATTAATAACAATGCTAGTGCTGACACAGGTGGTCATCTTCCGTGTACCACAGTCTCAGTCTTTGGCTGATGTCATTGCCACTGTCTTTGGACACAGTAGGCAGCGTTTTCAGTCCAAAGAACTCAATCTCTGATAACTCACTGCTTGGTGCCTGCCCAAAGTCAGGAACTAGCTAGTGAATATGGTGGATCAATTAGCGCACTATAGGATCCAGTACTGACTTTATGGAAACCAAATGGAGTTAAACGGTGAATGAAGATCAGCCTTAGCATTCATCAGGTTAATGCAGCTCGTGAAGAATGCTAACACTGCCCAGTCTTCAGCAGAGAGAGAACCGATGATGTGAAGGATTACTCCGCAGTGGATCAATCAAGTTTGTCAAACAGCTGCACAACAAGAAGAACGCAGACTTTGCCTACGGTCCACTCACTGAAGTGCCTGTTTCACCTTTTAACCAGCAAGTGTGTTTACACACCGTGCTTGTAATGCTAATGCTTGAGGTGTGAAGACACAGACATTTAACCGATCACGGGTGACTGCTCTGTGCACACCTACCCATCCCCCCCGTGCGTTCCTGGAACTTCAGTTTATTGCTACTTCCTGAAGGCTGCTGAAATTTGGCTCCCACAATGCACCTCCAAAACGGGCAGAGGGCAGTGAGAACAAATACAGAACCTATGACCGTTACACAGCTCAACACGTCTCGGTGGGTTCCTATAATAGAACCCCCCACCGTGTAAATTGGTAACTGTTTACTAACCAGTTAGAATTAACAATGACAGTGGTTGTACAGTTTGTTGCACTGCCCCAAAGTGGCCAACAAATCTGTGAACATGGGTTTAATGATGCACACATATGGAACTTGAAGGATCATATTTTCAACACCAGAAGATGACTAATGCTTCGCAATATGTAATATGGTACACATAAAAAGTAATTACAGTAATTGAAGAAAAGTTTCTTCTGTAAGTGGTAACATTATCTTTTAATTGGCTTTTGTCTGTGTTACACTGTTGCCTCACAGCTCCAGTGCCTGCCAGGGTTTCCCTTGGGTACTCTGACTTCCTGCCACAGTCCAGCTTAGGTTAACTGGCAAATGTGAGTGTGAATAATTGTCTGTCTCTGTGTGTCAGCCCTGTGATAGACTGTCAGATTGTCTAGGGTTTAACCACACTCTTGCCCTATGTCAGCTGAGATTGGCTCCAACCCCCCCGGGACCCTCTACAGGATAAGTGCTGTAGCTAATGGATGGACCTTCAGACTTTTCAAAAAATTTCCTCATAGAAGACAAGAAATACAACATCAAACCACAAACTGAATGAAGAAATCATGAGACTAGTTAGGACCTGCTTGTTGCTATTGAACACCTCTGAGAAGCTGTTATTAAAGATATTCCTCTGATCTTAAATGTTACACACACTAACTAAAAGCTTTTCCACAGGCAAAAATGAGAGAAGGGACGCTCCCCCAGGTTGATACGCATTGGCTGTCGTGGCCTAGTCAGTCAGCAAGGCAAAGCAAGAAAGATTTATTTGTATAAACAAAGAGGGAATTCAACACACTTTAGATAAGGCAGAGAAATGCATTAGAACATTCAATAACAAAGTGACTAAATGAGGTGAAAGCTAGAGGTTAGGTTCTCTGTTTGAAGCAAGTTAGTTTCAAGCCTAACAGGTTTTTGGTTTTTCTCTCATACCTGTTTGTTGAGCTCATATTGTGTAATATATAATAAAGTACCTTTAAAGTGGCTATGACACAGTGCATATAACCAAATAATGTGATATTGAGGAGAGCAGGAGCCTGTAGGCACAACAGTGTGCATGCTGCATGAACCTCAGATTACAGTTTTTGGATTGGGATTAAAGTCACTGTGGGTTGATTCTTTCATGTAACATTAAACCGTGGAAACCAGTTTCACTGTGGTACAGTGACACTGGTTCCTATTAATGGATCATACAGTCCCGGGATGGTTTCGCCCTCCCGGTTGACCACCCGCAGCCATGCATCAGTAGAACACATCAGTCGGCCCACCCTTGAGTCGGGGATGTTCAGAAATGTGTGTTTATGTTCTGTGCAAAATATGGGGTTCCCCAGTATCGAGGCCCAGCAACATGTCTGTAAATCATTCTTTGTTAGTGCAGTGGAGCTCGTTGAAGGGCTTCCTGACTTTGATGTGACTCACAAAGCATGCATATGGACTACAGTACACCCACACTACATGATAAACCAATAATCCAAAAGACTGTCTCTCTCTTCTTTAGTAGATCACTACCTGGCAGATGTGAGCTGGCCTGATGATGTGGGTCGGACAGCAGGTGGCTAACCCCTCAATACAACGGGCCAGAAGGAAGTAGGTCTGGCTCCACATAAT